TACACTCTCTATATATATATATATATCTATATATATATATATATCTATATATATATATATACGTCTGCAGCATGCACAATTATTCAATTGTAATCCTAATTTGCGACCTTCCCTATGTGGATGAATTCGCCAACGGCGCAAGAAGCTCAAACTGCGGACCAAGCGAAATCCGCCAGCGCTGTGATGTTGCAATGGATAAGAGCCCTTTGCGGAAGCATTGTGCTCTCAAGGGTATGTTCCCGCCACTTTGGACTTGGTTGTGAAATGTTTCGAGTTAACCGATTGAAGGTTGAGCATGTGTTGAGAAGGCGTGCATCTTTCACGAACAAAGCCACTACACCAGAGCATTGCAAGCGAGGGCCCACGAGCTGCAAGATTGCCATTTTGTTAAATCGCCCTGTTCTGATCACACAGCTCAGATAGGGCATGGTTTCAGTTTAGCGGGACCAGGTCGTCAGTCGCGAGGACAGGAGATCTGACTATCCCAACCATGGAAAGTTCTGGAAACCTGGAGTGTTTTGATCCTTCGATTTCCTGCCCTAATGCAGCTGAGGGCTCCCGAACTTCTCGGGGCCCGAGGTCCGAGTTTAGCCCAGGCCAAGATTGCAGAGACCTCTCCACTCAGGAAGGGCTTGGATCGGGGCTTGCGATCGCAGGGATAAGCTGCGTGACAACTCCTGCCACTCCAATACATGGAAGTCAATGCGGGAGCAAAACAGCAATCGTGGAGCTCGATGCTTTGCTTTAGCCGACTGCTTGAACTGAAGCGTCTTCGGCAGCTGGCATCCGCAGACTGCGATTCACAAGATGCCAGTGATGTGCATTCTTTTGTCTCTCGTGCAGACGGCAGGTTGCACGTAGCTGCCGCGACACGCTGGCCGCGACATTCCCGAACTCCATGGAAGGTGCGGTGTCGCATCGGCTGTGCCCGAAGTCCGAAGCCCCTTTGCCGACGTCGATGGCAGGACGTCAGCTCTGCGTCTTCCATGCCTGCAGCTCCCGAGATCTCCCGCTGCATCCTCAGCCAAGGCCACACTGGGCCACACGGGGCCACACTGCTACCAGCTACCAGCTCTGAAGCTCCGAGCCTCCAGCCCTGCAGTGCCTGCACCAGCCAAGGCTCTATAAGAACACGGAGCAGCCCTTCAGAGACAACTTGGGAATGGTGGTCGTGCCGAGCAGCGACGAGGCGGTTTAGGGCCGGGGCCATGCGATCGTGCTCGGATCTTGCGAAAATGGGGTCTCGAAAATCGAATCGGCGCTATGATCACGAACCGGGAATCTCTATACAAGGCATAGGAGGGGCGATTCGAGCACCGGCTGCGCCATCGAGCACAATCTTGATTCAAGAGTCCAGCACGGATGCAGGTGCAAGCTCTAAGAATTCAAGCACGCGCAGTTTAAGCACGTGCGACTCAAGAGTGCTTGCTTTTAAAAGTTGCATTGAGGCTTCTGATTTCTGGACTTGGGTCTGGGCCGTTCAGGGTTTCCAGGGTTTGCGGGTTCAGGGTTTTGTGGGTTTAGGGGTTTGAGTGGGCGTAGGTATTGGTTTTTTCTGGTTTATAGGCGCGCGAGTCCGGGGTGTGCAAATCCGCCGTCCATTGTGCGACTTCCCGTGGTCCTCCGCGTGCGGCCCTCAAACTCCAAATCTGAAAGTAATCATGAATGAGCAAAGAAGGTCGGTCGGCGGAGTTTTGTACGGCGACAGACTCGGGTCAAAAGCCAGGAGCACTCGGCGAACATTTTTGAGCTCTTGGCGCAGGATTTCCTGCTGGAAAATCCGTCCCACCTGTCCTACCTCTCCGAGGACATGGTGGATGCATTGGCCTTAGCGTGGCTCGGCTCAGACGTTTCGAAGCTGCTGGAGACCGGAGGTCTCCCAAATCGAGCAGAAGCTGCTTCCAACGCTTCGGGAAGGTCCCTGGGACCTGATTTTTCGCGGCCTCAGAGAAGACCCGCCCTGAAAGGAGACTTGCAGGCCACGGTGCAGGCTCGGGAGTCGGTGACCGGGAGAGCGGCTGTTTCCGTGTTTCCATGGGAGCTGTGGCAGTTGCTGGGAGCCGCCGCCGCGCGTTTCCTGCTGGCCCCGAGCAATGGCGAGGGCGACCTGCAGGCCAAAAGCTCAAAAAAGGAGGTTTAAGGTTTCTGTCAGGGCTGGAGGCGGACTGTAGCTGTGCATGTGTGAGGGTAAACTTAACAGGCAGACTGTGTCAAGCTCGGTGCAAAGCGACTCGGTGCCACCTTGCTTGTGTCTTGGTGGCAAGCTGTGCTGGCGCATCTACAAAGCTGATACTGCATAATTTCCATGCGGCCAATACCATGCTGCGAAACGCCTGCGGACAAGGCAAAGACGAGGGAGGATGTCAAGGGGCTCCGTCCTTACACCGGTCTGCCGCATGACGTGCGTCTGTCTCGGTGATGTCAGCAGACATGGCAAGTTCAGCATCCCGACAGATCTGGACCCATCACCAGAACCTGCCTTGTTCTTGACTTGATAATGAAAATGCTCCTACATGCATGTACTCGACGGTTTCCTGGCTGTTACCACAACCGCGGCAACAGCCCCCAGCTAATGCTTTTGGGGGCTACACTTCAAGGCTACTGTAGGGAAATACGTGCAAAGTTGCAAGGACCTTCCAGCGAGCCCTAGGCCCTGAGGGCGTCCTGAAGGTGGAGGTGCTTCCGACCCGGTTTGGGCAACGGCGTTGCTTCCTTTGACTGCGTTTTCAAGCACAGGACCTGCGCAAGTTCCTGCAATGCATCGACCCGACGCTCAAGGAGAAGGCGTCAATGCGGCGCTTGGAGTCGGGCTTGAGTTTTCAACTGGGATTTGTTGGACAATGACGTTCCAACCGACGGGTATACCCTTCATGTCGTACCCGGGGCTTGAGCCCGCGGGTCCTCGTGTAGGACTACTGAAGCAGTTGGGGTCCAGCACCCACATAACCACCGCTGTTTGTGTGATGAATCTCTGTAGTACTTAGTAGTGAGATGAAAGTAGTAGTCATAATCGTCGTCGTAGTGCTAGTAGCAGTAGCACAGCAGCAGCAGCACACCAGCAGCAGGAGTAGTCGTAGTAGCAGTATATAGTAGTCATAGTAGTAGCAGCAATTGCAGTAGTAGTAGCAGTAGTAGTAGTAGTAGTAGTAGTAGTAGCAGCAGCAGTAGCAGAGCAGTAGCAG